AAAGATAATTGGTTAGACCAACATTCTCATTAACCTAATTTGCATTAAATGTGCTACTGTGAATTGTAGTTATTGCTTTTCCATTTGAAATGCATGCTTTGTTAACTTATTTAAAGAGCCTAGTTAAACTGTAGTTTAAGTCGTACCCTTTAATTCAGCAATACAATATCAAACTGAGGATCTGTTATTACCATCTTTGTGAGTGTGGAGAATCATAAACCAGTTCTTGATCCCAGTGGATTCTCCTGATGAAGTAGGTTTGTTTAGCTGCTTTACATCTGGTCATTCTCAGATACTGAAAGCATTCAACTAATCCTTTAGTTTAATTTTACTGCTTTATAAGAGCAGAGGAAACTCTTTATTTCCTCTGTGACACAGCATGAGAAATAACTGAAGGATTCTTGGGGATATTGGAAGAAAATACTTATACCTTTGTTCTAATAGTATGAAGAATTTGAGGATCACTTGGTTTAATTATTTTTCAATAAAACTTCTTTACATATGTAACTAAATTGAGCCTTTAAAATATGAGCTGTTAAAACATAAATTAATTTGCACATTTTCATACCCATTTTAAAATCATGAGACTGAAGAATGAATTTGGATTTCTTTAATTTTCAGCATTTAGTTATTACTTATTAGCAGTATTCTAGATATTTTGAAACAGGGATTTATTTACTGTTGTGCTGTGTGCAATGAAGAGGAAGGCACCTTTGTCAGCAGTGAGTCAACTGTGAGTGCCCAAGTTAAGTATTTGCATCTGCAGATAGATACATAAAGACAGGATCTTATTTTTCTGTACTGCTGAGCGTACCTAGCCATCATGGAACCTGGTGTTTGTGAATTGTATGAGCTAAACATTTATAAAATTAGGTGGCTTCTTAGATATCAAAATGTTAATTTCAGTGCTTAGTTTTAATTATTTGCACTTGTACTGTTTGACACTGGTTGTTTTCAAAATAGTAGTATCTGGAGGCATGAATGTAAACCAAAGCCTAGCTGATCAGGCAAGGTTGTATGTCTGCCCAGTTATGCTGGATAAACCTAAGGAAAACAGGGGGATGCAAATTCAAACTGGACATGGTAGTGGTCATAAACATCTATATAAATACTCAGCTGCGAAGGTCACTTTCTTGCTGGAATGGTTCTGAAGATGACGATGATGGACATGCCAGATACACAGTGTGATTAATATATGAGTACATTGCATACCCAATGAGCATACACGAAATGCAGTTTAGATATTAAAAAAAAAAAGCCATGGCCAATAAATTTTACATTCCAGCTGGGAGATGGCTAAGTCTCCCTTTTTTTATTGTTTGGCAAAGAAATATGCCAATTACTATGCCATTTTGCTGCTTATTCATTCTGTTTGCAAAACAGAAGCTGGCTGATGGTTGCAGTATTGAGTAAAATTGCTGAAAGGCTGAAATCCCCTACGTTTTGGGACAGGCAGATAATGGAAAAGAAGCCAATTCTGGGGACAGCATGTGACGGTGTGTTCCCCCACCCAACCTGACCTTTATCTCCTGTAACCCTACCTAAGTGAGAACTCCCAGGGGCAGTCGTTAATGGATGCTGATGGTGATACTTTGTCCATTAACGAAGTGGATTCGGGAGCCAGATAACAACACAATAGCCCTTGGTTATTGTGAGAAATAGGCCCACCTAACCACAGTTATCAGTATGCAAATATGACTATGAGTCAATCATCTTACCCCTATAAATAGTGAGCAGCCCAAGAGCCCTTTGAGCTCTCGTGCACAGCAGCGGGCTGCATGGCGGGATCTCCCCTTGAGTAGGGACGCCTCTCAAGGTTACTCCTCGAGGTTGAGAGATTCCTTGCCGCGACAGATCCTCGGTAAGTGACTAATAGCATGCTAAACTTTGAAAACTTAGCTGAGTGGTATAAAGGATTGATTGCGCATATATAACCCTTTAGACATAAACTGTTGACCAAGACTGGTACTAAGATTGGATCCAGCTGCACCTAAACTCCTCTCTGAGAAGTCTAGAAAGCAAGGGGGTCCTTTCTGAACCTCATG